TTCCAAAACACCTGAAGAGAATCAATCAATCAATCAATCAATCAGTCAGTCAGTCTTTTAAATGCCTTCTTAAAAACAACTCCTCGTTTAGGTTACTAAAATTGGTCATCTTAATCCTCTTCCTCAAAATTGACTTCTGGATAAAGATAAACTTGCATATCACCCATTGTATTATACACCAAAATATCATGGGCATCATCAGCCAAGGTGCTCTCCTTCCCCCCTCCCCCCACTATTAATAGAACAGATCATTTCTGTCACTTCCTCATGTATATACTCCTTTACTCGTCCTAATGAAGACTTCACAAGGCACTTCCCCCCTCCAAACAGAGCCATCAAAATAAAATGTTTATTTGCCAAAGCAAAGTTCTTAGCTTAGCACCTTGCTACACCTGTCATATATACAACATGATGCATCTTTATCATCAAAACATTCAGTCTGGCTTTAATAGCCCTTTTACGTTATGTGACCGACCAAGGGATTTTTGCCTGCTAAGCTGGCATTCCCCCTCCTCCCTTTGCTTTTGTTAGGCACTCAGTAACAGTTTTTGGTTTATGGTTGGCCAACGGTTTCCTTTGCCCATCGTATCTACAATTGTGACAATGTCTGGCATGATTGGAAGCTTAAAGGAAAACCACAACAGAATGGCATGCCATTCACTTCCACACCCCTCTCCAACCACAGACAGATACAGTTACTGGGTTTGACTAACGGTTATCAATCAGCTGAACTGTAAGCCCTTGGGAAGATAACCAGTCAGAAAAACAGAAGGAAGAAGCAAGTTAATATGAACCATAAAAAAGTATATATAATGAAATGTGGTTGTTAACCTCATGGAACTTCTAAAATGTTTTTCTATTTAATTATTTTCAGCTTTAAATCTGTTACTCAGGGAAGTTCCATTCATTTTGATTCTATGATGCAGCAATATTTCCCAAATCAGTAACCCACATAATGTGAACATATATATTTAATAATCTACATACATACATTTTTAGAAATCTATTTAAGTATTAGACTAACAAATAATAAAGGTGCTGAGAGGTAACATAGCTAATATTGCCTGCAGAAAAATCGCAATGTACTTTACAATAACCAAATACTTATTGTCAATGTTACCTTTTGAATCATATCATTCAATTAAACGAGAATGCAAAATTTATCACTGATTTCTCAACAAAATAAATCTGATCTGCAAATATGAAGGAAGAATAAGAACAGATAAAAAAAGAAAATAATAAAGTAAAAAAGAAAAATTATATAAAAACAGGAAAACCTGCAATTATAACCCAGTCCTAATTATGGCTATATAAGGAAATAGAGGTGGCTTCAAACAAATAGATGAGCAAAGTCTCTATGAGGTTATTTATTTTAGAGTGTTGACCTAGTCCAGGGGTAGGCAACCTTGGCTCTTTTATGACTCGTGGACTTCAACTCCCAGAATTCCTGATGCTGGCTCAGGAATTCTGGGAGTTGAAGTCCATGAGTCATAAAAGAGCCAAGGTTGCCTACCCCTGACCTAGCCATATGACAAGATTACTATCTATTGGTTCCATATTTCCTAAAATAGTGAATTACATTCCAACATGTAGCATGTCAAAATATCTGCATGAAAAGGACAAAAATGTGCAATTCCCATCCCATTATGCAGTGATGAAATCATCATGTAAGACTTCTCCTGTAGCTAGCTTCTTTTTTGTCCTAGCAGTTTATTTGCATCAAACTCCAAATTAAATCAGCTCCAGCTTAACATGTAATTCTATGTAATAAAGGATTAAAGAGAATGATTTCTGTACCTGAACATAAGAATATATGCCCCCAGTTGTCTATATTTTTAATGAAAACTTACATATAATAGAAATATAGAAATAACTGGACATCCACTCTTTTTAAAAATTAATTTAAAATCCATTGCGGGAATTTTAATGTTTTAAATCAGTGTAAATATATTCATAGCTATGTATCATTTCTGTTGCCCCCAATCCAAGAAGGATACATCTGCAGCTAGGTTGAACTTTGTCCTATTAATTTCTAAATATTTTATATGAAGAGATTGTGTTCTTCTCATTCAATTAGAAAACATCTAGATAGCACTTTATCTTCCCTTTAAGCCTTTCTGTCTTATGGGTATAGAGATATATTAGTAACTGATGAGCTAATCCTAAACAAGGTTTCAATTCATTCCCTAGACAGGTGGCCAGTCTATTAAATTATCTTTTTAAATTCTGATTCCAAGTTCTGAATTTCTACCATAAGTCTGAATAAATGCAGGCCTCTAATTTAACACAACAACCTCTCTATGTAATAGGATAACAATGACAGCTTGAATCATATTTGATTGCCAGACAAAAAGGCAGCAAGGCATACTAATTTGCAGAAAAGCAATATTTTTGGCATAGTCTTAAGTCTTTCCCCCAGAGTGCACAACAGAGCTGGAAAAGAAACTTTTAGATTCAGAAATGTAATATCAATGTGAAAGAAAATCAGCCAGTATATTCTGTGAGGAAAACATTTTGCCCATATTTGAGAATCATTAGATGGTTTTGTTCACATAATATATTCATCCAATTTCATTTTGAATACGAATGTAGAGGACGAATGTAGAAGGCAAAACTTTGCTAAGTCATTATGTATCTCATCTGTCAATACATCTGAAAGCATCTTGGACTAAAATCTGGGTCTCCCTGGAATGATGTTACCATCTGTATATTCAAAATGGTGAATTGCCCATATATGAAGCTTAGAGTGAATTACCTGTGCAACAAGGGGCTCTGAAATAAGTGTGCATGCTTGCTGCCACTAAGTTTAGCAAGTGCCTGAACTCTGATGAACGGCTATTTATACTGCATGGTATTATATTGTATTGCATTGTATTGTATTGTATTGGTATGGTATGGTATGGCATGGTATACTGTCTATACTCTAACAGTCACCATCACACTACTTGTAAGATACTGTGCCTCCTGCCATTACTTCATTCTTCCCATCTGCTAATTTTCTGCACTACCATCATTTTATCACAAATCCAAACCTGAACAGTAGTCAATTAATGCCACAAAATTAGCTAACCAAAATTTAAAGAAACAAAAATAGCCATATTGCAAATCCAGCCATCAGACTTTGAATAGTGATCTACTGAACAATGCCTTAGAATTCTGTGTGAAAATACCCAGTAAATTGTATCAGTTCAGAACCTAGAAATTTAGAAACTAAAGGAAAAATCCAGAATAGTAAATAATTGATAGGCATTGATCCTTAAAGCCAGAAATGCTTGTTCAGGCCTAGTAGGAGTTTTAAGCATTGAAACATTTCACAGACAGGTAGGAAAAGACATTTAGAATAGTATTCTGGCATAAACATCAACTGTTTGCCTTGTTTACTGAACACAATGTCAACAGAATCAGTACTTAGTCAATACACTGAAATTATTTTTTTCAGTTTGGAATCTGGTTTGACAATGTTCCACTCTTCACTGACTGAACCTTTTCCTTATAATCTTGATACATATTAAGATTCCCTTTGCTTAATTCCCATTTCTCCTCCTAGACTTTCCTTTTGGGAACAGATTGTATGAGATTTATTAACATTCTCCATCTGTCAAAATCTTTGCTGAGGTCAAGTAAACTATGTCTACATTATTCTGAAAATCTACTCTGTAAGCAATTCTATCAAAAGAGATAAAGTAATATCTTACAGGATCACAGACTGAGACAAAAAACAACATAATCCAAGTGATAAAATGTCCTGTGATTATGTCACATTATTGTAGTTCAGTTTGTTAACAACAAACTCATGCTGGCTCCTGTTAACTGTAGCGTTCCTATCCAAATATTCACAAATATACCACTTGAATGTGTTTGAAGACCTTGTCCAATTCAGTGGTCAAGCTGATAGGACTGCAGTTTCTGAAGTTCTGTTTTTTTCTCCCTTTTGAAGATGGTAATGACATTTGTTTTCCGGACTCCAATCTTCTAGAATCTTACAAATCCTGCAAGAATTCTCAGAAATTACTGAGAGTTGTTTGCAGTAATCTCTATTAGTTCTCTCAGTAGCCTGAGATATTATCTATCTAGATCTGGAGACAATTCTCTTATCATTTTATCTCTCCTAAGTTGCAGGTCCCTCTTCCTCTAGTGGCATAATGATTAGCTAAAAGTCCAACTCTATTCTAAGGACAAAACACTATTAAAAGTAAGCTGCCATGAAGATTAAATAAAAAATTCCAAATAAAAATATTTAATGCATATTATTTTGCTCTCAAAACAATAAGCAAATAGTTATAGAATTGACAATGTATGGAAACAGTTGGTAATCATTTAAAATTGTATTATTTCAACCGCTTCCAGTTCTAACCTATTAAATTCAGCATTTCATAAATTTAGGATTTGTGTATTTCAGAAACTTAATTCAATTTTAATATCATGGAACAATATTTTAATTTTAGTATTTGGAAATAAAATTGTTTCTAAATTAGATTCACATTTGAATGTTACAAAGGAATGGATGAAAACAGAGGGTGGCAAAGAGCAGAAGAGATGGGTACTGCAGGTACCAGCCAATATTTCTTTCGCTCACTATTAAATCTTCTAACAATTTCAACATTTTGGAATCATACCTGAATATTATTTTGGAATATCTTTCCTAAAGACTTCCCATAGCTCCTGCTTTACAATTGTTCAATGTCAGGTTCTAACATTTTTATTTTCCAAACTTCCCCAAGGTGCACATATTCCAGCCTGCCTTGACATTTTTTACTTGTTGTTGCATCATGAATCTCAAACTATATTGTTTTAAATAATATGTTATTATTATATTATTGCATCATCCTAAAAACTGGTGTGGTGAAGACATTTTAAGTAAATTAATCGATCAATGCATTAAGCAAAATAACAATTCATGTAATAATAGTATTATGTTATAGTATAGATTATATAGTATAGATATAGTATAAATGAAACTATTTTTCTCCCAAATATAAAGGCTTTAAATTAGTGCTTACTTGCGACGGAACATTTCTGCAAATATGCAACCTACACTCCAAAGATCAACTGGTGTTGCATAACTGGATTGAAGCAGAACTTCAGGAGCTCGGTACCACAGAGTAACAACCTGAAAAATAAAGGGTAAACTATTAGGAATATGGTTTAATTAAAGAAATTCCCAAGAAGCAGGAAAATATCTCTTTGTTTTTCTAACATATATTCCTGTATTTCTAAATTGCAAGCTTTGAAGGAAGATCTTTATGGAAAGTATCCATATATTAATTATATTATTAATCAATTATTTGATTTTTTTTTGTATTTTGTTCTATACTGAAGTAAAAAGGAAACATTTTATTTCTCAGCATTAAATGTTTTCTATAAAATTATAAATGAAAAACTTTAGGAATGCTTCCAGGTAAATGATATAAAGGCTATTAATTAAAAATTATTGGACAGCAATTATTCTATTTCATATTCCTTCATGTATTTTTTACATTAGAAAATAGAGGAAATAGTAAAATTTAATGTTAAAGGACTGCACAATAAACCTTTGATCTGGAAGCACCACAGGAAATACAGTCTGCAACAGTTTTTCTGAGATGCACGTATTGATAAAAGTTTGAAGAAGTTACATATGAGAAGAGGAAAATATAATTGCAGTCTTAAAAATTTGTAGTGTTGAATTTAATTTTTTTTTCCTGAAGACATTACTTTTAATCAGGGCTTTTTTTCTCGTAGAATGCCCAGAACGGAGTTCCGGCACCTTTTTTGGATGGAACCTTGTAGGGTAGGCAAGGCGGGTTGTATGACATGTGTGAGTTCCGGCACCCCCCTTTTTTTTTTTTTAAAGAAAAAAAGCATTGCTTTTAATTAAAGTAATAGTATCAATCTAGAAAATCTCCTAGAAAATCTCAATGTAGAGGTCATCTGAAATTAGATTAAAACATGCAAAACATATATAAAGTAGATGTTATGAAGTAATAATTATGGGAAATGCAACGGTATTATTTAGACAAAGCCTTAAAAACTTCGAGCATGTTAGTTTCATACGTGTTTTAGAAACAATTCAGTAATTTTAAGACAGAAAAAAACAGATACTTCTAAATATATGTCATGTGAGGAATTGCAAACTGTTACTGAAACATGAACAATATAATTTACTGTAGCTAAACATGAATAAATTTAGCTTTTTGTCATGTGTTTCAAATGACGAAGAAAAAGAAATAGGAAAATTGAGTTTATTTAAAATGAATAACAAGCAGATTTTAAGCCTCTGCTGAAAAACAGTCTTAAGAAAACTCTTAAGTAGAGAAGGTACTTCCATACTACTACAGGTGTGGAAGTGCCTTTGATTTACAACCATTTGTTTGGCAACCACTAGAAGTTACAATAGCACTCAAAAGATGTCTTACTGAGGAAAGAGAAAATGGTTTACATGTAAGGGGTACCGAGCTGATGCTCTGCAAAAGAGAAAAGGCTATGCTCTGGTTTTAAACACACTAGCACAAAATGAGAAATAGATTGACTTGGTTCCCCAAGCCAGGTGAAATCATGTGATTTGGAACAATTTCTGAACAGTACAAGCTCATATATGAACATGTCTGAGATTGTATCCATAGAACTACTGCAATTGCACTGAAAGCCCCAAATGACACTTCACAGTTTTCAGTCACTGTTTTCTTCATTCCTCATGTAAAGATTTATGACCCTTGCATCTACAATTACAGTTGCTCAGAATAATCAAAATCTCAAAAGGAGTGAATGCAACAAATAAACAGGAGAGAAATTGATTTCTGAAGTGCCTATAATGGAAATCATTATAGAATATTTTACTAGGTGAAATGTTGAGAATTTTTCTTCCTCTTGAAAGATGTCAAATGGACAACTTACATTGTAGTTTTCTTCTAGTTTAAAGAAAATTAATTTCTTTTTAGAAATTTAGGAAAAGATACTTCGCAGTTTCTGCTTCCTGCAGTAAAATAGGTGGACAATAAATTGGATGGATAGATGGATGGATAGATAGTTGTCTAGAGCAGATGTGTCCAACCTGTGCTGCTCCATAAGATATAATAAAAAATAAAAAATAAAGGAAGCTTGTTATTTATATGTTAGTTATATTATACATTATATGTTTATATGTGGTCCAAGACAATTCCTCTTCACTCAATGAAAGCCAGGCAAGCCAAAATGTTGGACATCCATGTTCTAGGTCTATGTTTGCCACAATAAAAGTCATACTAAACCATCCAATATTCCATACCCATTCACATAAATGTTTCCTTTCATGGCTTGTTCCAAAGAATAGCTAATATCATTCACAGTTTTTGCTTTTTTCAATCTCTTTAATATCACAGATGGCAATATGTAGGGAACATTTCAGCAATTTACAAAATTATATAAAATGGAAATATGTTTGTATATTTGTATTGTATGATACCATTGGATTTATTTATATTTATATATTCTGCAGTATCTTTCACCAAGTGCTTTCCATAGATGTTGGATTTCAATAAGATCAGTCTTGAGGAGCACAATTTCTACTGCAAATGCTATCTTAGCAGGGAAGGAAATGAACAATTTCACAGCACAAAATGTGCATTTTAAATGCTGAGAAAATATTTTCCCCAAAATGTATTATTCCTTAAAATATAAAAAAGAATCACATTCACAACAAAACTGATTGAAGAAAGCATTGATTGAAGGATAAGTCTCAGGATTTTTTTTTATAAAGTACGATTTAGATGAAACCATGCATTAATTAATTAACATTCTGTCTAGGGCTGTTAGGTGTTATATTCAGAGGGCACCAAGCTGAGGAAAGCCGATCATTTGTAACGAATGTAATTATCTCAGTATATATGAATACATTATGCTCAATGTTCAAGATGAGCAAAATTGCTCGCTTCAATTCAAGGAATATGACTGCAAAGAATAACCACAGATAAATGTTCTTGCTACTAAGAATGTTCTCTTGGGGGAACCCCCCCCCCAGAGCGATCTGCATGATTCATTAAGAACATTTCACTCTGTCTCATCCCCAAACCAAACAAAAATTTATGGATATTCCATTCAGTTACAGAGAAGCAGAAATGAAAATGATGCATAAGACAGGATATGGTGAATTCAACAGTTACCATAGAACTTCCTCTTCTGGATGGTTTTGATTACATATTTTACTTATGTGAAACTTTTTGATAAAGGAAAGGCTCAATCTCTCCCCACCCCCAAATAACACAGGGTCAAGCTCAGCAATAAAAGATCTTTTTTAAGGACAAAATTTGCATTGAAAGGGGCAAGGTCGAGCCCATGGCAATAGTATTTTTTTTAATGAAGGTCTGCCAAGACATGAACTCTTGTTGAATGCAGAATATATTTCTTTGCAAATAAAATTGTAGCCTAAAAGTGCAAGCTCACTTTGATTGAATCAGCTGAAATCATTCCATTAACCAGAAGTCATTCTGGGTTCTATCTTTCTTGTGGAGTGGACATAAAGCTACAATAACATAAAGCTACAATATATGGGCTTTGAGATTGTTTGAGACAAAAGATTCCATTTACTTCTTGGTGAAATTACAGGCAGAAGGAAGAGATTTAAAAATGATAATTTTATGCAAGTATCTTCCTACCAGCATTGCTGTTAGTATTATCTGTAGCTATTTCATTTATTACAAAATGGCTATTCAAATATTTGTATCTGATACTGGAACTAATAGAAGAGCCAGTGGTTCACACAGAGTAGGAGAAGCATGATGTTCTTTCCCAATGACCACAACCAGATTACTGGAACTACAATCACTAAGTGGTAAGGTCATGTGATGCTTTGCCTAATGAGCGCTTCATTTAGCAATGGAAATTCCTGTCTCAAATGAGGTTGTTAAGCAAGGACTATCTGTAGCATTAAACTTCTATATTAAAATAACACTAAACTTCCAAATTAAAAATTATCATTTAAATGGATGGTATTTCTTGATGATAAAGGTTAGAGAAAAATGATTCTGGCTGTTTTATTCAGAGAACTTAAGTCAAAAGCAGACGTATCTTGACAACCCCTTTGAATCTCAATATATGATTAAAGATCACTTTTTCCCCTCAACTACTCCACTATATTTTTACTCAAACCTAGTCTTTTTTGGAAGGGGGAATTTAGTTGCAGGAGTATTGCAGGAACATAGGCCCTTCCTCAAAATCCCAATACCTGCCTTCATGTGGGAGCAATATTATAACCAATTACTCACTGCCTTCTGCTGTAGTGGACTAAAGACCCACAAAAGGATTTACAAAAGGTCTGAACCCCTCCCTACCCTGGTCTCCGATGACTGGATGAAAATTAAAGGACTCACTGAGACTCTTGAGGAGGCTCTTGGTGGAATATCTTCTATTCCCTGAACCAAATTATCACATTGACTGGTGGGCTCCTTTATTCTCAGATTTATTAACTCACATAAATAATTCCTGCCAAGGTCCAGATGGCTAGGAGCTCTCTATTTATGACAGGGGTAATCCTTCAAATTATAGATCATTCAATTTTGTTGATATCACAGCAAAATTGCACGCCAACATTTTTTATACAAAACTGATGACTGGATAGCTAAAAAAGGCTTGTTAGCTTAGAGAGTAGATTTATGTCCAGTAATTCTACTACTGATAATTGTTTAATTTCATGTCACCTAATAGAAAAATCTACAGCTGAAGGGAGCCAACTGTTTACAACATTCATAGACATCAGTGCAGTTTTTGACATGAACAATAGAACACAGACATTTCTCTCTGGAATGACAGACATTATATTCAAACTCATGCTTAAAAGTATGCATAGGGGAACATGGTTCCCTAACAGGAAAAAATAGCATCAATAAAAGGCTAAGACAAAGTTGTATACTATTTCATATTCTGTTCAGTCTCTACATAAATTATATTACAAGTTCTTTCCATCAACTAAAATGCATATGCCTAAAGTTAAAACAATGTAAACATCCTGCTATATGTTCATGACATGATATTGAAGTCATTCACCCACACAGAGATGAGAAAATTGTTGCAAAGGATCAGTTCATACTGTGTACTCAACAATCTGAATGTTAAAAGTTAGACCTAAGTAGTCATTTTCAGAAAAAGACGGAAGCCTAG